TAGTTTTGGATCACTGTGTTTTCTCAGCGTAAAATTTTCGTCCTTCATGTTAGTTTTCCTTTTCATTCTTTCCCCCCTCCTTTTGTCTCTGTTGTCTTTTCTTCTAAACGCCTTATTACTTGACGTATTTGCATGATGGCTAGGAGGCTGTACTAATGATTCCTGTGCCTAACCGCACCTTACTGTCTATGTTTACAGCTAAGGGATAAAACATGGGCAAACATTTTCCTACATATCCTCTTTTTCCACATGACCTTTCAACATGTCATAAGGTTTTTTGTCACACAGATCGCCCTACTATCTTTTCTATTACACCATAACTTCTCCTTGTTAAACTAACCCCCTCTGTAGGTTTAAATATTCGGACTTTGGCCGCTTCACATTTTGTTTTCCTTGGAGGACCGCCCAATTGTTTTTTATGTTTACGATTCGGCTTTCTAACAACCGTAAATTATTTTTGCAAGCTTATTCCACCCTTCGTTTAAACTTTCTGACTCCGGCCGCTCCACATTTTGTCTTCTTTAGACCATCCACTTGCTTTAAGTTTACGATTCGGGCTTCTAACGGCCGTGATTTGTTATTCTTCACGACGACTGACGTATTGGGTAAACAGCGGAGATATAAAGAAATCGTAATTTGTAGTTACAAAATCAGGAATACATAATTTCTTGCAATACTGTTACCTCTCTCAGAATCAGAGTAGTTATTATCTTGGCTGTCTCAGTAAATTTCTGGCAGTTATATAGCTTTTTTCTGGATTTTTTTCCACAAATTTGAGTGCCACAAACGTGGTAAAAATGTGTATTTGTTTAGAATGTCGAGTGATCGTTTTCCACTTCTGGTTATTCTCCTCAAAGAAAAAGGCGTTATTCAACCGTATGATATTGCATGGGGTAAGTTCATGATAGTAAACATACATGCTGTCCGTTCTCTTTTGCAAGGCCTCCCAGTCATGTTGAAGTTACAGAATATTGTGCTGTCTTTTGGGCGTAAATTTTGCTCCGTCCATAAAAATACAGGATGGACTCTTGGAGGGAAGGGGGTGGGGAGTGGGCGTACCGGGGATGGGGAGAGTGAAGCTCCCAGGGGAAGGTGACGAGGAGTGGGGGAAGAGCCCCTTTCACCCTGGAACTGTGCAGAAAGGGTGTCCCAGTCACGTTGAGTTGCAAAACTGCTGCTTAGAGTTACTTTAGTTTTTTTTTTATGACCAGATTCGGGATTTTACAGCACCATGCCTGTGCCCAGGACATAGGCTCTTCGACCCTCCCTCCCCCCTTCCCCGTCCTTCTGTCCCATCTTCTCCTCCCGGTGAATCCATATGGCTCCGTTTGTTTTCTACCGGCTGCTGTTCAGCCTTTTGGCGATCCTGCTGTGATTTTTCTCTTCTAGTTGGATTAAAAGTTCAGCGATTCTTCTGGCCGAAGCACTTGGTTTACAGCACCGTGCCTGTGCCCGGGCAAAGACTCTTCGCCCTTCTTCCCCCTCCGCTCCTGCTTTAGGTGTCTTGAGATATCCTTGATGTGCATTGAGCATCGTAACCTCATCCGGGACGATGCTATTTCTAGGGCCTGATGAGATGATATTTGTGTTATTAGATTGTAAAAGTTAGCGTAGATGTAAAGGCAAAGGTGCATATTTGTCATCAAAATCCATTTGAAAGGAAGATTTTTTTGTAATTGAGGCAAAATTTCTTTCTGTTTCTCTCTGGCATTAATGCGTATTAACGTAAGAGTGTGTTAGCTTTTCTTTCTGACGCTGACGGTAATGCCTTTATTTTCGGATCTGGTGGTTTTTCGATGCAGAGAAGACATATTTTGATTGTGAGTGTGTGTTATAGGAACTGAAGGTACTGAACAGGTAGTGGATAAGTTGATGGAAGGGCTTGACGATTATCAGCGTATCAAGAATGCAGAAGCTGCTGAAGAAAGGTTTCGCCTC